CCTATTTCGAATGTGAATAGAATACGGTTGGTCTTTCTCATTCTCTTGAATTCTAGCGTGCGGCCACTCAACGTCCGGATTCCGTGAAGGGAATAAGCAGAAAATGCTAAGACTTACCTTATCGGTGACCCAACCCAATGGGTCACCAGGAAAAAGACAAAAAAAAAGCAAAAAATAAAAATAAAAATAAAAAAGAAAAAGAGGGGATAATACGCGACCCAGGTCAGATGGTGACCTTGGGTCGCAACCGAGCGCAATACACTTTTTTTGCTTTCTTTTTTTTTGATTTTTTTTATTCTATTATTGCTCTTGAATTTGGACGCATGTTGCTTTCTTTTTTATAAAGGGATGAGAGGAATGACACTTGTCTCATTCCCATTGGTCACTATAAATTTTATATAATGAAAAAGGTATAATCTAAATTATTGATATTATTTTATATTAAAAAAATAAATAAAAAATATCAAAATTCGTATTTTTCATTCTCTATAAATAGAGACCACTCTTGATATATTTTGGAACACAATTGAAATTTCTCTCTTTTCACTTTTTTTTAATCATACCTTATTAATTTTATCATCTTTTTTTATTTTTCTTAATTTCACAACTAAAACAATACCAAAAAATCTATTGTAGATAATATTTAATAAATGAAAATAAAATAAATATTATGTTGGGTTGGGTTGGGGATAAAGATATGTAGGTTGTTAAAAGTTGGGTTGTGTAGGTGGATGAAAGAGAAATAGTTTTTTATTATTGGGTTGAGTTGGGTTGGGTCGTGGATAAAGATAGTCTAAGGCGCGTTTAGAGTTATGTTTATGTTCTTATATTGGTACTGACTACTAAACCAAAGTTGCACCTATTAGCTATGACCTTTTTCCAAATATATACATACAACCATATCATTATTTCGAATCGGAGATGGTGGAAATCTTCACGAACTAAGAGCAACTTTAACGGGTAAACTCTATGAGGTTTATAAACCTGAGTTGGCTAGTGTTACGGTTAAAGTGGAGAAATGGGAGCGTGGGCTTTGTAAATCGAGAGTGCAAATGCAAAGTTGGTATTATGGTGTAGATGTGGGCCCCAAACATTTGATAAATGAATATAATATGAAAGTTTGTAGAATGTGGACGTCAAATATAATGGATGCAATCCGTACATGTTTTTTATTCTTTCATTTAGTTTTAATTGTTATTATTTTATTTAGTTATATTTTTTCCACATTTAGTTTAATTTTTATTATATAATCTAGTTTTTTTACATTTTATGTGTAATAAATTTATCTTTTTTATTTTAATTTAATTGTACGTAAAATGTATATATTATGATATATAATAAGTATGTCGAATTAATTATTTTTTTTGTCAAATTTTACTCACATTTATTATTATTAAAAAGAATAATTAATAAAAAACAATGAAATATAATAATATTTAATCTAAAGTATAGAATGTAGTTTTATACGTTAATTATGAGTAGTTTTTTTTATTAAATATGAATTAAATTGATAAATAAATTAAAGTAAGTGGAAAACATGTGGGGTTCACTAAAAGAAGGTTTGTGAGGTTTATGGTTATTGGAGCACACAATGGGGCTGTGAAGCCACCTTGAATCCTTAAAAGAAGTTATGACCATTACATTTATGAATAACTTCCATACCAAATTAGCATGATTAATGATATCAACTCTGTTGGAAGAATATCACTTGTGAGTTGTCCCACATTAATTTTACGAGTTAAATAAACTTAGTTTGTAAGTCTAGTGGACTACTCCTTCCATAACTAATTAATTTTTGGATGGAACCTCACTAAAGCACCTAGACTCACCCTCTTATAGTGCACTTCACCTGTGTGGGACCGCACTCTCTTCCCCGAATTCTTACAAGCTCAATTATTAATTAAGCAAATCTCTTGACTATCAAGTATCAACCGCATATTGCTTCAAATTATTCAATGCGGCCTCTCGACTACTAAGGTAGTAAGGTGTGCTAGATGTAACACCACAACATCGCCTTTTAATCACTTACGAGGTTCACTAATTGGTGGAAGGAGGAGTAGCCCATTAGACTTATAAGGTGGGTCTATTTTCCATGTATGAACGATTTGGAACAACTCCCAAGTGATATTCTAACATATTTTATGATTTGAGACAAAAAAAAAACAAATAATATAGTATAATTCTTGTACCCGAAGCTTCTTGTTTGTGTTGGGCATTTATTTGACATTTTTACATGTATATTATAGTACTCTTAGACATTTTTTTTTTCAAAAGAACTATGTACAAAATTAAACCATACATAAAATATTTATAAATGAGCACAAATAAAAAAAAAAATGCACTCTAGAAAATAATTATAGAATTAAGTCACGAATCAACTATTCATACACCGTGAATAGTATTATAATTGTATTTGAAAATAAAATTAATAAATGTGCAAATAAATATTTTCTCGATTTATTTTGTGAAAAAAAAAAAATGGGCCATGATTTTAGTATCATCTTTTGACCAGGTCCAGTTGTGGAACACATTAAGCCAGGGAGAAGCAAGCATTAGCCCAGAAATGACACACAGAGAAAAGAGAGCCCAACTTATATTGAGAGCACAAATTTTAAAGAATGTTTTCCATGTTTCTATATATCATCCACAAAATTATCAAAAATAAAATAAATTTCCATTGTATCTCGATAAGCAATTTTGATCAACTTATGCTTTTTGTAAATAGTATGCTTAGTAATCAAATTCAAAACACCATCAATTGGTTTGTAACACAAAAATTTTAGTAAATTCAACTAACACAATTCTTGCGTGAGACGGCCTAACCATTAGGCGGATCGACCCATTATACTTTTATAACAAAAATGTTTGTTTATATTATGAAATATCATAATTTTGTTTATATTTTTTAAGTATGATATTACAGTTTAAAAATATATATATCTATTGAAATGTATGTTTATTTCACTGTTGGGCCTGCTTAAGAAATCTTCAACTAATGGATTGAAATTTCTTAGCCTATCAAGTATATGTTTAGTTAATTAAATGCAACATAACTGTCTATTCACACAAATCCAATTACTTAATTCACCAGCAATCAATTTCCTTCCATAATTTGGGGGAAGAACAACAATATAGTAATATAATATCTCATATTCTTTATTCATATTTGTCTATATTATCATGTAATTTTATTCTTGATTTGTGGGCATGAGCCTTTGGGCATACACATGCCCAGTAATGCTAAGGAGTCAACTGTTGGGTGTCCCACATGATTCTAATGTGGGATAACCCCATATAGAGCTGTCCCATTGGCTGTTGGCTCCATAACGGAGTCAACAGTTGACTCCTTAGCATTATTGTACACATGCCTACTATTCTCTCAAAGTAAAAAAAACAAAGCAATAGCCAAACTACTTGTCAAAACCTTATGCAATTATTGCCCAAAAAAATATTAAATTTGTCCATAAACAACTAAACAAAGAGAAGCAAATAGTCACCAAACCAACTAACCATAGTTAAATTAACAATAAATTAGCATTATCACAAATTTAAACATACTTAGACCTACAAACTGTGTACACATCTCAGTATGCTAATATCACAAAATCTTGACATGTGTCTCTCGGGAAATTAGCATACCATATAGTATACAACGGATATAATATTTAAGTATTACGAGATTTTGACACGTTACTAATGAATAGATTTTAATATAGTTATTAGCAGTGGGGAGGTGAATATTTTCGTATCAATAGTAAGGAAAAAGAAAGACTGTCAACATGATCTACTGCATTTACTCTCTCAAATTATACTTTTAAAAAAATCTTTACCAACTCTAATTATTCTATTGGATTTGGTAATGACATTTGATTAAAAAAAGGTGAACAGATCAAAAGGGCAGTGCCCTTTTTCTTGATATTGTTCACCCATCTATTTGTCTTCATCTCCATCTCCTCTGTTTCTCATTTCTTGAAAGCTTTGATATCAACCAACAACAAAT